GCTTGTATCACTAGTTCATAATATCCTGCATATAGGCAACTGAAATTCTCCACCATGAAAATATACATAGCCAGATGGGAGTAGTAAGCAACGCCGCCACACTGCTCAAGCGTGAAATGAGGAAGGTCCCAAAGTTGGTGGCAATGAAAACCATTCCTAGACATCTGGTGTCTGGATCTTGGGAGAGGGATAACCAGCCTCATTTAGGGGTCCAAGTCCTCTTATCTTTCTAACCCCTACAGCCCTGACCTGAGGATTGTCCTTCCTTCAAAGTCCCAGTTCGTCTTATCTAAATTGGTCCTATTGAAACATAAATGAATGTTGACTCAGCCACTGTAGAAGTTGTTTCACTCAACAGAACCTGAACAAACACAAACTTATATACTTGTTATGAAGTCCAGGAGTGTCCACCTAATGCTTACAGAGGAAATGGGTGGCATCCTGTGAATCCCTCAAAAGATCTTAGGCAAGTTATCTCAAATAATGTAAAAAGTAAATAAATAAAATGAAAGATAATCTGTAAAGTTCTTTTGAATTCTAAAATGCTTTTCTTGCCCTGACCGGTTTGGCTCAGTGGATAGAGCATCAGCCTGCGGACTCAAGGGTCCCAGGTTCGATTCCGGTCAAGGGCATGTACCTTGGTTGCGGGCACATCCCCAGTGGGGGGTGTGCAGGAGGCAGCTGATCGATGTTTCTAACTCTCTATCCCTCTCCCTTCCTCTCTGTAAAAAAATCAATAAAATATATTTTAAAATGTTTTTCTTACCAAAGGACCAATGCAATTTCATCTTAAACAAAGGCGGCCAAACTAATCTTTAAACACCCTTTCTTCATATTACTTCCTTGGTGAAGAATCCAAAATGACTCACTCCCTAATGCCTCTTACATAATCTTTTATTTTTCCTCAAGTTTTCAAGGCATCCATAAAAAGGCCACATTTACCTACCCATCCACCCACCCTTATTTCCAACTGTTATTCGTTATAGTTCTGTTCCATTCAGGCTAGTCTTCCCACCATCTCCTTTCCGCTCGACACAAATTCCCCCCTTTGGTGCTTTTGGTCTTGTTCCCTCCTACCACAGATCCAGCCAGGAAATACTAAATCCTCCCTTCTGGGGCTGACTCCAAGGCTTTCAAGGAGGTCACAATTCAATTGAAATCCTTCCTGATTTTTATTTATCCTTTTCTCCAACCAACACGAATGCACTAAATCTTCACAAGATGCAAGATGCAGTGAGACACCGCCTATGCACATCATGACATTTGAGCCTATTAACCACGCACCCGGTGCCGTTTCTCTAAGATTCTCCTTGGACGTTTCACCTAAGGCAAGAACCAAGCATCAGTAGAGTCCTGTACCCCCAGAGCATCAAGCCCTGTATGCGGTACAGAACAGGGGCTCCGCACCCGAATCCACGGACTGGGCCCGCGGGGGCAGGGGCGGGGGCAGGCAGCC